GTAATTTCAAGACAAACTATTATACTGATCCCAACCCTTTCTTTCATTCATTCATCAGACTTGGACATCGCTAGCTGGGCCATCATTTATTGCCCACCCCTAGTTGCCCTTGAGAAGGTGAGTTGCCTTCTTGAACCACTGCACTACCATTTGCTGTATGGCCACGCATAATGCCACAAGGGAGAGAATTCCAGGATTTTGGCCAATGGCACAGAGAGAATGGTGATATAATTGCAAATCAGGATGGTGCATGGCTTGGAATAAGGTAATGATTGTATATATCTTTTGAGAAGAATTTATATTGGTCGATTTCAGTTGCTGTACAAATGCATTCATTTTTGGGGTGAAGTCCAAGCTCAGACAGTAATTGAAGAGTGCGGTGAAATATCTGGTTACATCAATTATTCAATCAATTAATAAACAAAGCAACTGATAGTAGCCCATACATGAGTTCCAGCAGTTCTAGCATTCATATTTATCCCCCAAGAACTCCATCACCCGAATAATACCACAAATCACTGGGAATACTAAAATACTCTCTGTTGTTTTGGAAGCAATTGCTGTGTTAAGGACTTAAGTCTATTTCTGACTGGTGCTCTCAAATTTCCTTCCAGAATTGGATCTCTAGTTTGTTACATTCGATCTGAGACTCTGCTGTAGAGAGTTGCTTCAGCTATTTAGTGGAGCTATTAATTTGCAACTTCCAGAGTAACAGTCTCTTTCATTCTTGGGCAGGTAGAGCTAAATTGTTATTTAGAGAAGGTTACATAGAATGCATAACAATGTCAGGTCAGATGACTCAATTAGTCTGCGTTGGTATTTTTGCTCCGACCGATAGCCAGCTCTGTAAAGTCACCCAATGCTACCTTTGTTTTGCTACCTCTGAATTCAACTATTCAAATACACTTCTGGCTGGCTGCCCATCTTCCATCTTAGATAAACTGCAGCTAACGCTAAACACTATCGTCGATAAACTAATGGGCTCCAAGTGCCGTTCATCCATCACCCCTGCTCACTAATCTGGCACCCTTCCAACTGTACAAACTGACGCAGAGAAGCAATGATAAAGATTATCAGTCCCGTAAAGCTTGGTCCATCCAGTAAATGGTATAATCTTTCATTGACTTCCTCCCATCTCCTAATACACTGTGACTTGGAACAGGCAAAAGAATCTAGCCCCTTCAGGAAAACCTCTGGAAAATTCCTTTCCCACTCTCCGAGACTCTGGATGTGAGATATCACAGTCTAAATTAAACACTGACTCGCTGTTCCTGGAAACATTCTCTCAGGCATTCATTGTGTTCCGTTTTAAAACTGTTAAGTGAGACCCAACTCAGCACATATTGAGCCAATTTCTACCATAGGATGATGAATCAGCAAGAAATCATATCAACAGGTACTGAGAGATCTGGTCTCCAATCAGACCCCACCCTTTACATTTCAAGTTACAACATTGTGTGCAATCTCAGGAGGAATTCCCATTTTAGAGAGATGCTGACTGATCAGATAGCAGGTACGTCTGTGGTCCAGCAGCACCAGAAGGGAATTGAGGCTAATGCTAGGTTACACAATGTATCAACAAAGTGGAGGTAGCACTTCAGGTACAATTGGTGGGACCATGTGGTAGATCCCTGCGATAAGGGTGAGAAGGTTGAGGGTGGGTTTGAAAGGGCACAGTGATTGTGGTGACATAGGATGTACAAGCATGAGCTGGCGACTCTTGAGCCTCAAATGTACCAAGTATAAGTAGGCTGTTTATTGCCTCCAATAGCCCCACTAAACTTGAGGCAGGTTTTGGAGATATGCCAGTAGGTAGGACACCTACTTGATTTATAAGCCCTCCACCTTCAAAGTTGCCATAGAGGGTGTGTAGAATCTGGACCAAATGTTAGGTCTGTGGTGGAGTGAACTCTTTAAGTTATAAGCAAAGCTGACTTTGCAGGAGTGATAGATGTTAACATCCCTTTCTGTCAATGTTGAAGATTTACCCATAGGGGACATGAATAAGAGTTTGTAAGTGATGTGAAAATGAGTTCTGTGGTTGATAGCCAGGAAGAAAACTGAAGACTTCAGCAAGATAGCAACGGACCGGTCACACAAGGAGCATTGTGAAGAACAGAACAAGAGGTAAGGTTCCAGCTTGTTGACGTTTTATCAGAACTCAGTTTCTCTCTGCCTTGCAGAGTGTTTTGCCTACTTTCTGATTCGCTGTCAGATTTCCAGCACCTGCAGTGTTTTGTTGTTCATTTGAGTGAAGAGAAAGGTCGTGTCATCTTTTCCATGAAAGTGCGACCCATCCCTGGTGAGGTGCCATTTCTGTCAGAATTGCTCAGGGATTGAAATGACAGGAAGATACTGACAATGAGCTCCGAGCTCAGTGATAGGGAAAGGTTTCATTTTTAAATTTGAAAAGCTAGCTTCACGAGGGGCCTTTAAAACATTGCATGGAGGCCAGGCTTTGAGTTAAACTTGTCATCATCAAAACTGCAAAAGGTCAACAGTGAAGGTTGTTGTTTGATGTCATGACAAGGAATGAATATCAGAAACAAACTCTGACTTCTGTCGTTTATCTTCAGAATACTCGCTCCATTTTTTCTTTGCACAAAGCGTCCAGATTATTAATGGTTACTGGTCCTAATTGCACTGTCATGAATTAGTGGCAAAAAGTGTGTAAAATCATGGGAAGTGTTTGTCAATGGTTTGACCTACTTTGGGAAGTTGGGTCCCTCTCACGTACACCCACACTCATCCAAACAAGTGGAGAGTATTTCATCACACTCCCACCACATTCCGGCTGTGAAATACTGAATTCATCATCAGTCACGAACGATTCTTCTGTGAGGGGGGTTAATGATTACTCTCTCCTGAAGCTGCATTAATAGGATGGGACTTTTACAACAGGTAGCTATCAGTCATTGCTGCGTGGGTCACGTATATCCACCGCTGAGTCAGTGAGAGGCCCTGGGTTCTATTCCAGAGAAAAGAGAACAGAGCCAAAGCTGATCATCTGGTGGAGTGCTGCACTTTCAGAGGGTCAGTACTGAGGGAGCGCTGCAAGTCAGATGGTCAGTACTGAGGAGGTGCCACACTGTTGGAGGGTCAGAACTAAGGCAGTGACACACCGTTGGTCAGTCGGTATTGAGCGAGCGCTGCACTGTCAGAGGATCAGTACTGAGGGTGTGCTGCACTGTTGGGGGAGTCAGTACTAAGGGAGTGCACACAACCACATACTCTTTCTCTGATAAATAATAAATCAAGGATCATAAATCCCTCTAAAGGAGATGAAAATGATCAAATGATCCATATTATTAAGCACCAGGAAACTTTTCCCAGTGTCCTAGCCAAAACATTTCCCTCAGTGTATGTTGTTAAAGCAGATTATCTGGTCAGGAGCATGTTGCTGTCTGATTGAGCTTGTTGTAAACTAATTGACTGTGGCAATTCTCAAATTCATTGCAGTTTATTCAAAATGACCTAAAACTGACATCGAGAAAAGTGTCGTCAGTCAGATGACCGAGAGTTTCATAGAACAGGTCAGTTTTAAGGAGTGTTACAGGAAGAGAAAGAAGTGGAGATGTTTGGATGAGAAAATTTCAGAGACTAGGCCCTAAGCAGCCGAAGAAACCAATGTAGAAGATGGGCACTGGGGATATTCGAAAGTATACGAGGAGCACAATAATCTCTGAGAGCTATATATCATGCAGAAGTTACAGAAATCAAGAGATATATGGGCTGGAGCAGATTGCAGTGATAAGGAGGAGTGTAGGACTAATGGAGTTCGCTGAGTTTGAGAGGTGGAGCCTATGGAGTGCTTGCATGAATAGTGATGGGTGGAAGGATGAACGAGGTTAGAGAGATATGGAGAGTGAAGGGGCTAGAGAAGGTTAAAGAGATAGAGACAGACGTAGGGAATAGAGGAGGTTAGATAGGGAGGGGTTGGAGGGTTTGAGGAAGCAAAAGATATAGCGGATTAGTGCAAGGGCTGGAGGAGGTTACAGTGACTAGGAGGGCTAGAGGAGCTAGTGGAGATTAAAGAGTTGATGGTGGGTTATAGGCTAGAGAAGGTTAAGGAGTGGCATGGAGCTGAAGTGGGAGGGTTTGAAGGGTTGGAAGAGATTTCAAGGTGAAGGGAAATTATAAAGGTGAGAAGGGGTTATGGAGATAGGGTGGGCTGGAGGGGTTGGAGAAAGTTAAGGAACTGGGATTAGTGTAGAGGCTAGAGAAGCTGAGGGAGATGCAGAGCTGTAAGGTTGAAGATGGTTAGAGAGATAGTGAGGGGTTTAGGGACTGGGGGAGATTGCAAGGAGAAGGGAAGTTGTAAAGGCTAGAAGGTGTTACAGAGATAGGGAGGAATACTGGGGCAGGAGGATGTTACAAAGACAGAGAAGGGAGTGGTGATGGAGGGTTTTGAACACATGAATGAGAATTTTAAAATCGAAGTGTTGCTGAACTAGGGGCCAAACACAGTGAGTAGGGAGTAAAGAGAATATGTTTCTGAGCTTAAGAGACTTCAAACCTTGTTATGTAAAACACCAAATACACACAGACCTTCAAATTCAACAACCAGAGGGAAATAATTTCCCACAAAAAATGACTTCCAGTTCCAGTCAATGCGGGTTATTGCACTCGAAAGGGAAAATAATTTGTTCTGAACAGTAACCGAATGCTAAATCAGTCTAATAAATCTTTAAAGAATCTTTTAACCAAGTGTGGAAGGTTAAATTGTAATAAAGGTGCTTGGCGGAGACTCTCAGAATCTGCTGAGTGATTTTACAAAATGTAATCATCCAGAATATCAAATAAATGAGCTTTGATGGTAATTCTTTGAAACCAGGAAATATTTGACAAGAGTTCCCATAACAGGTAAGGAAGAGATGCACTTGAACAAGAAATAAATAATGATTAATGTCCCTGTCGAGGTCACCATCGACTGGAATATTTTCAGATCAATGTTTTTTTTCTATTTTATTGCAGTAAAAGCTTTAAACCCTTGATGGAAAATAAACTCAGCACAACGTGACGGTGGATGGAGAAGTGTTTCACAAGCCATTAAGTACTTAACAAGTGTAATTGCTGTTATAATGTGGGAAACACAGCAGCTAGTTTGAGAAAACCAAGATCCCATAAATAGCAATGATTGGTTAATATTGTCTGCTCCAGCACTCACTCACCGCTCTTGTTCAGAGGTATGGAAAGCCAAAATTGTCAATAAATTCCTTCCCACCATGTGACACTGTGGGAAGATCCTTTCAGTGCCTCCCAGCATGTGCAACTTGGCCAGAAAACACCTCCCCCCACGCCATGGGAAAAGCTTCAAGAGGTGCAGAACCCATGAGCACACTCTTCCCCAAATACTTTCCTTCTTCTCATGTTCCCAGGCAGGCACTGTCCACAGCAAGGGAGAGACAGGGAATTAGGGAGACAGGGAGAAGGAAGAGCAAGGGGTGGACAGAGCTGAGTAAGGGAGAAAGAGATAGATAGAGAGAGGCAGGAATATTGAAGGAAATGAGTGCTGCACCACCAGTACTGTTTCCAGATCAAACAGTGAAGCAAGCCATCTCAACTGGGTGTCAAATATTGCACAGTCACTCCAAGAACAATGGGTTGGGGAATTCACCCTGGGAATCTTGACCAATATTTATGCTTCGAACAACATCCAAAAGCAGATTATCTGGTCATTGTCACATTGCTGTTTGTTCCAGAGGTCTTGCAATGTCTATAAATGCACTTTAGAAATGTCCTGAGGTGGTGAAAGATTATGTAAAATATGAGTCCCTTTTCTTTGTCCCAAAGTAGAACATGGAATACTCAGCTGACAGTTGAGAGAATGAATTATGGGGAGCTGCCTGAGTCCCGTGAGGAGACACAGAGTCCAGTTCCCCACCGACTGTCCATTCCTTTCTGAGATCCAATCGGCCTGGGTGACTGGGTGGGTTCAGACCTCACTTGCAGTTATCCTTTGCCGGGAATGCGGAGATGTGGGAGGAGAGAGAGGGAGGGGTGGTGCGTGTTTGAACGGCATCGCAGTAAACGCTGGATTTGTCCTGCCGCTCTCCTCAGCTTTCGGGTGGTACTGGAAGCGGCTCAGAGCAGTGAGCAGCCGCGGGCAGCGGTGAGCAGCGCGGTCAGCGAGAGCAGCGCCCGGTGCAGGGAGGGCTCCCGGGCCGATTGGGAGACGCAGCCTCCCGCTCCCTTCCTGCACTGGACTTTCTCACACAGGAGCCCGGTGTAGGGAGCTGGGCACCGGCACCTCCCGTTCTCCTCACACACTCCTCCGTTCTCACACCGTGTCAGCAGGTTATCACACACTCCCCCTGCGAAAGAAAACAAACACAAAACACAGCAAGGTCAGGCCATTGGAAATCTGCCCATATTACAGACTAACACCACTGCCAGAGTTTCATCTTTACAGCAAGAAGTTTTATTGACGAGAAAAGAACCAGTCGCCAAAATACACACTTTTGAGACGGAGGATATAATGAAGAAAAATTAGTGCAGATTCTAAAGTGAATAATAGAACATAGAACATAGAACATTACAGCGCAGTACAGGCCCTTCGGCCCTCGATGTTGCACCGACCTGTGAAACCAATCTGAAGCCCATCTAACCTACACTATTCTATTATCATCCATATGTTTATCCAATGACCATTTAAATGCCCTTAAAGTTGGCGAGTCAACTATTTTTGCAGGCAAGGCATTCCACGCCCTTACTACTCTCTGAGTAAAGAACCTACCTCTGACATCTGTCCTATATCTATCACCCCTCAATTTAAAGCTATGTCCCCTCGTGCTAGCCATCACGATCCGAGGAAAAAGGCTCCCACTGTCCACCCTATCTAATCCTCCGATCATCCTGTATGTCTCTATCAAGTCACCTCTTAACCTTCTTCTCTCTAACGAAAACAGCCTCAAGACCCTCAGCCTTTCCTCATAAGACCTTCCCTCCATACCAGGCAACATCCTGGTAAATCTCCTCTGCACCCTTTCCAATGCTTCCACATCCTTCCTATAATGCGGTGACCAGAACTGTACGCAATACTCCAAGTGCGGCCGCACCAGAGTTTTGTACAGCTGCAACATGACATCATGGCTCCGAAACTCAATCCCTCTACCAATAAAACCTAACATACTGTACGCCTTCTTTACAACGCTATCAACCTGGGTGGCAACTTTCAGTGATCTATGCACATGGACACCGAGATCTTTCTGTTCATCCACACTACCAAGAATCTTACCATTAGCCCAGTACTCTGTATTCTTGTTACTCCTTCCAAAGTGAATCACCTCACACTTTTCCGCATTAAACTCCATTTGCCACCTCTCAGCCCAGGTCTGCAGCTTATCTATGTCCCTCTGTAACCTGCAACATCCTTCCGCACTATCCACAACTCCACCAACTTTGGTGTCATCTACAAATTTACTAACCCATCCTTCTACGCCCTCATCCAGGTCATTTATAAAAATGACAAACAGCAGTGGCCCCAAAACAGATCCTTGAGGTACACCACTAGTAACTGAACTCCAGGATGAACATTTCCCATCAACCACCACCCTCTGTCTTCTTACAGCTAGCCAATTTCTGATCCAAACCGCTAAATCACCCTCAATCCCATGCCTCCGAATTTTCTGCAATAGCCTACCATGGGGAACCTTATCAAACGCTTTACTGAAATCCATATACACCACATCAACCGCTTTACCCTCATCCACCTGTTTGGTCACCTTCTCGAAGAACTCAATAAGGTTTGTGAGGCACGACCTACCCTTCACAAAACCGTGTTGACTATCCCTAACCAAATTATTCCTTTCTAGATGATTATAAATCCTATCTCTTATAATCCTTTCCAACACTTTACCCACAACCGAAGTAAGGCTCACTGGTCTATAAAGTCAGGAAGATGTGGATTGACAAAGTTTGAAAAAAATTGGAGGGGGTGGAATATTTAAAATATATCCAGGAAAATTTTATTTTAAAAACCAGTATGTTGAAAGCCCTAAAAGAGATAGGCTAATGTTGGACCTAATTTTTAGGGAACAAAGCCAGGCAAATTGCTGAAGTATCAGTGGGAGAGCATTTTAGAGATAGCAATCATAACTCAGTATGAAACGAAACAACCATGGAAATGGTCAAAGACGGACCAGAAATAAATCTTTTGAATTGAGGGGAGGCCGATTTTAACATGAGAAAACAAAATCTGGCCAAAGTGAAATGGGAGCAAAAATTTGCAGGAAATCTACACTGGACCAGTGGGAGTCTTTCAGAAAAGGAAATAATGAGAGTGAAAAGCCAATGTGCTCCTGTAAAGATGAAGTGTGGGACCAAATATTCCAGGGATTCCCAGTAGATACTGAGGGCTAGGAACACCAGAAGCCCTGAAGATGGGTAGTAAATGTGGGGAGACGTTACTTGGGAAAGTGAAGTGGGGGCACGGAAAAGCACTGGTGGGTAATGTAGAGGAAAATCTAAAGGCATTTCAAAAATATATTGGGTCAAGATAAATAACTTGGGAAAGAATAGCACCCACTAGGGGCATAATTGGCAGACTGTGGGTGGAGTAGGTGACTAATTTAAATAAGTACTTTACATCTGTATTCATCTGATAGAGAAGAACGATGTATGTATAGAAACAGGGAAAAGGAGTCATAGAATCATAGAAGTATACTACACAGAAATAGACCCTTTGGTCCAACCTGTCCATGCCGACCAGATTTCCTATATAAATCTGGCCACATCTGCCAGCATTTGGCCCATATCCCTCTAAAACCTTCCTAGTCATATGCCCATTCAGATGCCTTTTAAATGTTGTAATCAGACCAGCGCCCACCACTTCCTTTGGCAGCTCATTCCATTCATGCACCATCTTCTGTGTGAAAAAGTTGCCGCTTAGGTCCCTTTTATATCATTCTCTTCTCGCCCAAAAGACTCCCCCAAACTGAGAAAAGGCCTTGCCTATTTACCCTATCCATGTCCCTTATGATTTTACAAACCTCTACAAGGTCAACCCTCAGCCTCTGACACTGGGAAAAAAAGCCTATTCAGCCTCCCTCTATAGCTCAAACCCTCCAAACTTGGCAAAATCCTTGTAAATCTTTTCTGAACCCTTTCTAGTTTAATAACATCCTTCTGATTGGAGGGAGACCAGAATCATACGCAATACTCCAAAAGTGGCCGAACCAATGTCCTGTACAGCAGCAATATGATCTCCCAATTCCGATACTCAATACACTGACCAACAAAGACAAGCATACCAAATGCCTTCATCACTATTCTACGTACCTGGAACTCCACTTTCGAGGAACTATGATCCTGCACTCCAAGGTCTCTTTACTTAGCAACACTCCCTAGGACATTACCATGATGTGTATAAGTCCTGCCTTGATTTGCCTTTCCAAAATGCAGCACCTCACATTTATCTAAACTAAACTCCATCTGCCACTTCTTGGCCCATTGGCCCATCTGATCAAGATCCCATTGTACTCTGAGGTCGCTGTCCACTAAACCTCCAATTTTAGAGTCATCCACTAACTATACCTCCAATGTTCACATCCAATTATTTATATTAATGACAAAAAGCAATGGCCCCAGCATTGATTCTTGTGGCACACTGCTGGTCACAGGCCTCCAGTCTGAAAAACAACCACCAAAGGTCTTCTACCTTTGAGCCAGCTCTGTATCCAATTAGCTGGTTGTCTTTGTATTCTGTGTGATCTAATCTTGCTAACTAGTCTACCATGAGGGACATTGTCAAACACCTTATGAAGTCCATACAGAGCACATCAACCGCTCTGAGATATGCTTGAATAAATTATAATTGAGAGGAAGGAGGTTTTAGCACACTTAAAATTGGATAAGTCACCAATCCAGATGAAATGTATCCAAGCTGCTGTGGGAAGCAAGGGAAGTGATTACAGGGACAATGACATTAGTTTTCAAGTCCTCTCTGGACATAGGAGAGGTGCCAGAGGACTGGAGGACAGCTAATGTGGTCCCATTATCCAAGAGTAGTGGCAGGAATAAACCAGGGAACCATAGGTCAGTGAGTCCAACATCAGTGATATTGGAGAAATTCTCTGAGGTTCAGGATTTAATCTACTTGGAGGTGCAAGGATTAATCAAGGATATTCAGCATGGCTTTGTAAGCAGGAAATTATGTCTGAAGAGTCGTTATGAGTTTTTTTGAGGAGGTGACTAGACATGTGTGTGAGGGTAGTGCAGTGAATGTAGTCTACCTGGATTTTGGAAAGGCTTTTGACAAGGCTTCACATGATAGATAGGTGAGGTAGATAAGAATCTATGGGATGTGGTGCACTTTGGCAAATTGGATCCAAAATTGGCTTAGCCTCAGGAGATAGAGGGTAATTTGTTTTGTGATTGTAAGTCTGCATCTAGTTTTATACTACAGGGGCCAGTTTTGGGGTCTCTGGCTGATTGTAGCATACCTTGATGAACTAGACATAGATGTAGGAGCTATGATCAGTACGTTTGCAGATAACATGAAAGATAACATACATATAAGTTACAGATAATTTGGCATGCCTTAATAGTCAGCAGGAAATCCTTAGATGACAGGATGATAGAAATAGGGTGCCATTTTTAAAAAAATGGCAAGTACATTTAATCCTGAAAAAATGTGAGGTAACACATTTTGACAGGACTAGCATTGCAAAGGCACAATGAACGGTAAGATCCCAAAAAGTACAGAGCATCAGATGTATGGGAAAGGGACAGTGGTATCATGGCCAAGTTGAGGAAAAAGAAGGGACTGATCATGATGCAAGTGGGACGAAACATTTGTGATGATGTTGCAGCAGGAGATGGCAGTCAGTGATCTGCAATGAGTGAGTAGGAAGTGTAGGGAGGGCAGGATTAGTTAATCATTTTGGAGGATGAGGTGGGGTGAGCCATTGAATGAACATGACGCACATAGTACTGACGGTGATGTGGAAATGCAACGGCAGAGGTAGAGTGAGTGCTGGTAAGTATAAAGGCAGAAGAGAGAAGCTGGTTGTGGACATGGGTGTGAATCTCTGTGGCGGTGGCCTGGAAATAGAATAGGCTCCTTTATCGCCACTCCTTGGAGTCACAGAGTCATGAAGTCATATAAAAGACCCTTCAGTGCAACTCATTGATTCCGAACGTGTTTCCTACATGGAAATAGTTCCTTTTGCCTGCATTTGGCCCATATCCCTCTCAACCCTTCCTATCCTTGTACCTGTCCAAAAGTCTTTCAAATGTTGTAATTGCACTCACCTCTACCACTTCTTTTGGCAGCTCGTTCCATATATGCACCACCCTCCGAAAGAAAAGATTGCCCCTCAGGTTCATTTTAAATCTTTCCCTTCTGACCTTAAACTTATGCCCTGTAGTTCTAGACTCTCTTAGCCTGGAGACAAGACCTGGACTATTCCGTCTACCAATACCAAAGCAGTGAAGCGAGCTTTCCCTTCCTCTGGGTCACCAGTCAAATATTGAAATTTCAGGCTCTGAAGTGGTGCTATAGCTGGGCTGTAAATATAGGATAGAGCAGAGTAATCCAAAAGGTATGGCAGTGGAGAGCATTTCCCCCTCTGTGGCTGTGCGATTCCTAGAGAAAGGTGCTGAAAAGGCCAGTTGCATAATTAATGCTTTGATGGGCGAAATATTTCATAGAAATGTTGCTTTGAACTATGATGGATTGGGTGCCAAGAAGCTCACAGGGTGAACCTCTTCATCTGAAAATGAGAGAATTCTGCCAATATTTCTAAATTGTATGATCACACTGCACATCAAGGAAAGATGTCCTTGACCTGTTGTAAAAAATCTTGTTTTGATTTGTTGTCTTGTATCATACATGGACTAACCTGAAAGTAAATATTTCACAAGAAAATGCACACTATACGTGGAAAATGTTGGTTGAAAGAATGCATTTGGATTTTACAAATATGTTTAATAAAGTACCATTTAGTAGACTCGTGACTAGACAACAAGAGTGAAGATTCTGAGGACAGGTCAGACAGAAAGCTGCAAGGAGACAATAAGATTGGTGACCAAAAACTTGGGTTTGAAGGAGCCGAGGAACAAAATTGTTGTTTAAATTCATTCAATTTCTTCTGAAACTCAATCACATTGTTTGAGAGATCTTACCTTGCTCTGAGTTGGTGACCTCAAGTGATGAGATACTGGGCCTTGTATGAGTCAGCTTTGGGTCTGCTGCATGCATCAGGAGAAATCAGCAATTATCAGTCCCAGATGGTGAACAATGCCTGGCCTCAGAATAGTATCTCACACAAACACACAGATAGACAGACACATGCACATAGACACAGGGACACAGACGTGTGCCCACACAGTCACACAGACTCACAGGGCAATGATTAATCAATCAATTAATTAAACCTGACGCTGAGAAATAAGTGGTGATATTAGGGCAGGGGACCAAAGCTCACCCAAAGATGGAGAATTTAAGGAATTTCTTTGAACAGAAGAAAGGGGTGAAGAGACAGTCTACGTGAGGGAGGGAATTCAAAGGTTTTGTGGTCAGGTGACTGAAAACACAGTTCCTCGATGTATTCCTGATCTCATATCACACGACTTGTTGGCATGGTGAGTTATGGTCATTTGGAGCTATAATCATTCTCTGTCAGAGTTAAAGCTATCCTCAGGTATTGTGGCTCCTTCTTGGTCTGTGTGTGGAGTTATGGTTACTTTGGGTATGAGTGGAGAGTCATGGTCATTGCTATTGGTATTAGGGCATCATGGCTACTGTTGGTCAGTGTGGTGAGTTGTGGTCACTCTGTCAATATGGAATGTTATGGTAACTCTCAGTCAGTGCGGCTGTTAGAGATTTCTGAGTCCAGTTCTGTTCACCACACGCTGTCTGTTCATGCCTATTCCTGTTACACAGTCACTCTATGTTCACCCCTACATCTATTACATAGTCACTCCCTGTTCACCGCTACATCTGTATGAGTCATTTCCTGTTCACTCCAAGACCTAGAACCATAGAGTTACGCAGAACCCATCATGTCTGTACTGACTCCCGAAAGGGCTAGCCAACTAGTCCCATTCTCCTGTCCTATCTCTGTAGCACCCTAAATTCATCACTTTCAAATCTATATCCAGCTCTCTTTTTAAACCTCCTGTGGAATCCACCGGGTACACATTGCGAATCCTAACAACTCTCGGAGTAAAGAAGTTTCTCCTCATCTCACTCCTCGCTCTCTTGCTGACAATCTTGAAAATGTGAGCCCGAGCCACTGACACACCGACCAGCAGAACAGAATATCATTCTTTACTTTTTCAAAATTGTCCAAAATTTTGAACACCTCAATAAGGTCACCTCTTAATCTTCTCTGCCCTAAAGAAAATCAGTGCAATTTCTCAATCCTTTCCTTGCATCGAAAATCCCTCATTCTTGGTATCATTCTGGAAAATGTCTTTTGAACTCTCTCTCTCTCTCAAGGATTTCAACATCCTTCCTTAAATAAAGTGCCCAGAACTGAACATAAAAGTCCAAATGTAGTCCGACCAATGATTTGTAGAGGTGTAGCATCACTGTGCCTCTATTTATTTATTCATTCATTCATTCATTCACTCACTTACTTACTTATTTATTTACTTATTTATTTATACCCAAGGATTCAATCAACCTTCTTAACTGTTTCAACTTGCCTGGACACCTTCAGACAATCATGCACATGAACCCTGAGGTCCCTCTTTTCCTGCACTCCTCTCAAAGTTGTAAAATTAAGCCTGTATTGTCTCTAAATGTTTCTTCTACCAAAATGCATTACCTTACATTTCTATGCATTGAAATTCATCTGCCAGGTGTATGCCCATTTGGCCAACTTACTAAAGTCCCTCGAAAGTTGCTCAGCGTCATTCCAACAATTGATTGTTCTCCCTAGTTCAGCATCATTTGCAAATTTAAAGATTTTGCCCTCAACATTCATTTCTAAATTGTTTATATAAATCAGAATAAGCAAGGGTCTCAGCATAGATTCCTGGGGAACACCACCTTCAACTCATCTCCAATCTGAGAAATGCCCATCTATAGTTATCCTATGTTTCCTATCTTTTAGTCAACTTCTAATCTATGCTGCCAAGGACCCATCAATCCCAAACATTTCTAACTTACTAGCCAACCTGCTGTGTGGCACCATATCAAATTCCTTCTGAAAGTGCAAATAGACAACATCCACAGTACTACCATCATCTTCTTATCTGTGTTACCTTGTCAAATGATGGCGGCATGGTGGTTCAGTGGTTAGCACTGTTGCCTCACAGCACCAGGGACCCGGGTTTGATTCCACCCTCGGGCGACTGTCTGTGTGGAATTTGCACATTCTCCCCATATTGGTGCGGGTTTTCTCCATGTGTTCTGGTTCCCTCCCACAATCCAAAGATGTGCGGGCTAGGAGAACTGACCATGCTAAATTGCCTGTAGTGTTCAGGGATGTGTAGATTAGGTGAGTTATAGGAGATGGATCTGGGTGGGATGCTCTGAGGGTCAGCGTGGACATTTGGTCCGAAGGGCTTGTTTCCACACTGTAGGGATTCTGTGAAATAGCTAATTAAATTTGTCTGACTTGATCTGCGCGTGACAAAGCCATATTGACTGGCTAGTATTAAGTCAGTTTTCTCTAAAAATATATTTATCTCATCCTGTATTGTAGCCTCCATCAGTTTTCTCACTGCTGATGCCAAGTTGACATGTCTGTAGTTTCCTGAATTATCCTTTACCTCTTTTTTTAAACAAAGAGACCTTGGGGTGCAGGTGCATAGTTCCTTGAAAGTGGTGTCACAGGTGGACAGGGTGGTGAGGAAGGCATTTGACATGCTTGCCTCCATTGGTCAGAACATTGAGCATAGGAGTTGAAATGTCATGTTACGGTTGCACAGGACATTGGTGAGACCACTTTTAGAATACTGCATAAATTCTGGTCAGCCTTCAAGAGGAAAGATGTTATTAAACTTAAAAGGATGCAGAAAAGACTTACAAGGATGCCTGGACTGAAGGGTTTGAGTCATAGCGAGAGGCTGAATAGGCTGGGGTTTTTTTGCCCCTTAGGCATCGGACGGTGAGGGGTGACCTTATAGAAGTTTATAAAATCATGAGGGGCATGGATACGGTGGATAGACAAGGTCACTTTCCTAGCATAGGGGAGTCCAAAACTAGAGGGGGTATGTTTAAGGTGAGAGGGGAAAGATTTGAAAAAGACTTGAGAGGTAACTTTTTCACACAGAGGGTGGTGTGTGTATGGAACGAGCTGCCAGAGGAAGTGGTGAAGGCAGGTACAATTACAATCTGCATAGGGATATGAATAGGAAGAGTTTAGAGGATATGGGTCAAATGCTGGGAAATGGGATCAGGTCTGATTGGAGTGGCTGGTTGGTGCAGACAAGTTGAACTGAAGCCTCTCTGCTCCTATGATGCTGCTTGGCCTGCTGTGTTCATCCAGCCCTGCACCTTGTTGTCTTGAACTGAAGTGTCTGTTTCCCTGCCGTATGAGTCTATAATGACATCACATCTGCAATTCTCCAGTCCCCAGGGACAAATCTTGTGTTCACAGGAGCCTGTCGCACCTGTTACACAGTCACTCACTGTGCACACTTACAACTGCTATCTCGTCACTCCCTGCTTACTCCTCCACCTGTTACACAATCACTCCCTATATTCACTCTGACATCTCTTGCAGAATCACTCCCTGTTGACCCCACGCCTGTCTGTCAGTCAGTAAGGGATGTGGGAAGTTTGAGGGGAATATTTTGTTCCTGATACAGAAATGGGCTCTAGATTCAAGCCATAGGTACTACTTACAGCCACTGATGTCATTGTCAGGGACACCTGGAGAGTGAAACATAAATACAAATAATTAGAGTGTTGAATGATTAACAGTCCCTATTGATAAACCATGCAAATACAACCTATCACACAGAGTGTTCATGAGATTGAAGCTCACAAATGTATTGACAACTTCAGATACACGGTCCTGTGAGGAGAGTATGAATAGATTGGGCCTGTACTTGTTGGAATATGGAAGAATGAGTGGCAACCTGATTGAAACATACAACGTTCTTAGAAGGCTCGACAGGTTAGATGCAGGGAGGTTGTTTTTCCTTGAGGGAGAGTCTGGGAACAGGGGGCATCATCTCAGGGTTGGGGGTTGCTCATTTAAGCCAGAGGTGAGGAGGAACTTATTCTTTTGTAGGGTAGCGAATCTGTGAAATTTTAACTGCAGAAAAGTGTTGAGGCCAGGTCATTGAGTATATTCAATGCTGAGATAGTTTGTTTTTAATCTGTGAGGGAAGCAAGTGTTATGGAGAAAGTGGGTAAGTGGAGTTGAGGATAATCAGTTCAGCCATGACCTCACTGAATGGTGGAACAGACTCAATGGGCTGAATGGCCTTATGGTCTTTGATATTCACATGCAGCTTTCTCCAATGCCCTCAGTGAGATGAGGTTGAGTTGCTAAAGTTCTCATTGATTGTAAGTGTGAGTTTTGTGGATAAGTACATGACCATTAGATGTGAATAATGTGTAAGTGCTCAGGGTTAGTACCGAAGGATGTCACATAGACTGCTTGGCTATTTACTTGTGTCATTATCTTTTTTACAGACCTCTAGTCATTCTGCAAACTGCTGTTTCTCTGGTGTGTGTGTGTGTGTGTGTGTGTGTCTTCACAGTAAGATCGCATCCCATTCAACTCATGCCGCAATTTTGAACTCACCCTCTACATATACTCTCAGTAATTCAACCTTGGTCTCCCTCAGTGGATGTTGAAATCAGGAAGATTTCTGAATAAGTAAATCAGGGGAAAATGTTTCCAGTGGCGGGCAGGTCAATAACTAGAGAAGCCAGATTAATTGTAATTGTTTACAAAAATAAAATAGAGGGTATAGGGCGATAAGTAGATTTACTCTGACACAGCAAGTTATGATTGATCTATAATAAAGATATTTGAAAGGGCATGGAAGTAAATTGGATAATATATTTCAGAAGGAATTTAGATAAATACTTGAAAAAAGGAAGCAAATTGCAAGGCTGTAATGAAAGATAGGGGACTGCCACTCATCGGATCCCTGTATCAGAATCATGATGGGCTGAATGGCCTCTGATTGTGCTTTACGACTCTCTAATTGTGAATCTGCACACTTTAAGCCTCTTAAAGTTACACGTTAACATAATTGCAAATGTTCGCTGCATTGTGTTTGGAATTGATGCATTGCCGGAGGGGAAGGGGTGACAATGCTAATGAAATTTGAAGTGTAGGACTAAGCCAGGCCGGAGAAACGTTCATCACTCACAGATATTGGCCGTCCCTTTGGGGATCGGTAGGTACGATCCCGCCCTCCACCTCCGGCCGTGAAAACCTTTCTTGCATCGACCGCAGTCCGGCCCCGTCGTGTTGTGCTCACATTCACAGCTCAGCTTCCCCTTCTTCATGACACAGTTGTTAGCGTGAAGGTTGCACTTGCACCTGACAACACACAGCAAAAAAAAGACCCGTTCAGCTCTGTTAAAAAGCCAAGAATCGGCTCCTCCTTCATCAACTTCACCCTGGAAACAGCAACATTTTTCATCCCAAGTACCGCGTTGAAATTCACAGCTTCTCGTTGCGAAAGAACAGCGGCAAGGACAAGTTGGGGAAGAAAGTTTGCAGTAGGCTCAACCATTCCCCAGACCTTTGAAGAAAGGATCTGCATTTATACAGGGCCTGCAACCTCACGCCCTTCATTGTTCAATAGCTGCCAAGAACTTCGGAACGTCCTCCGGTTTGCGAAAGGTTCTGGGGAGCTGCCAATTTATTTCCTTCTTAAGAGTAACAACAAATCATCACGGTTTGCATTTTTATAGCACCGTTGATGCAGTATTACATTGCTTACTATTACCATCAGATTATAGAACAAGATATCATAGAATCCCCACAATGTAGAAGCAGGCTATTCGGCCCATCAAGTCCACACCGACCCACCCCACCCTACAACCCTGCAGTTACCATAGCTAATCCACCTTGCCTTCACCTCTTTGGACTTTGCAAAGAAACCAGAGCACTTGGAGGAAACCCGCACAGACATGGGGAAAATGTGTAAATGCCACACAGACAGTCACCCAAGGGTGGGATCAAACCTGGGTCCCTGGCGCTTTGAGGCAGTAGTGCTAACCACTGAGCCACCCATATGACCATTGGCGACCATGTCTTCAGCATTTGGGTGCCAAGGTTTGGAATTAGCTCTCTATATCCCTTTCTCCCTCTCCCTTCCTCCAAATGCCAAGACCACCTTCTTTTCACTAAGCTTTTAGATGATGCCCATTTTTGTGGCTTGGTGTCACATTTGCCTGGTTGACTCCCATAAAGGACTTTGGGACATTTCACTACATTAGAGCCATTATCTAAATGCTGTTTAGTAAATTTGGAAACGCTGCACCTTCAGCATCGTTTCCCTGTGAGAAATAGAGATGGAATAGACAGGAACAACCTGTTTCCTTTGGCAGAGAGCTCAAAAACCAGGGCTCATAGATTCAAGCCAACTGGCAGAAGGATAACAGGGGATGTGAGGATCAGAGATAACACAGTGTGAAGCTGGAGGAACACAGCAGGCCAGGAAGCATCAGAGGAGCAGGAAAGCTGACATTTTGGGTTGGGACCCTTCTATCTCTGATATGAAGATCAACTTATTTTTGCACAGAGGTGCCTGGAATTTGCTGCCTGAGTTGGTGGTGGAGCCAGAGATCCTAAACGTTCTTAAAAAGGTACCTCAATCTGCACTTTAAATGCTGTAAGCTGCAGGACTATGGGCTGTATGCAGGAAGGTGGGCTGAGTCAAGGCAGCTGGATCTCTTTGAGCCAGCATTGTCAAGATGGGTTGAATGGCTTCCTTCTGCCCTGTACCATATCTATAGTTCTATGGTTCTAAATGTGGAAGAGCTGATGCTGGTGACTCCACATTAGCAGAATCTAGCTAATACACTGGACCTGATTGGAACTGGTTTTCTCTGTGTTAGAGAGAAAGGAGATAGCTGTTTAATGAGTCTCTGGTAAAAGTTAAGTTCATTTATGCTCTTAAATTTTCACATAGTATACAAATTGGTGTTAAAGTTAATAAAATCTGTAAAGTGCAGGTAAGTGAATAAATAAATAATTAAAACCAATTAAGGGGTGGCAGGATATATTAAGGTTGAAGCATTTGAGAGGGCTGCTGGATGCCAGTATGATCCACAGCAAGAGCATTTGCAGTAAGTGCTTGAACTCTGAGCAGCTTTGGAACAGAGTTTATAAACTGGAGGCTGAACTAAAGAGACTACAAAGCATCAGCATGTGAGTATGTTGCCTGAATTCTTTGCATCAGGACGCAGTCACACCACTCAGCATTCGATCTTCTGATTTGGCCAGGAACAGCAGGGTGTGACCATGAGTGAGGCAGGTAAGGGAACCCAGAGGGCAGGGGTAAAGGAGTGACAGCCTCTGCAATTGTCCAATAGGTTTGAGATTCTCTCAGCCTGTTGACAGAGAGCAGAGGTTGTAGTAAATGTGCAAACTGACTATGGCGCAGTGGTACAGGATGCCATTTAAGTGGAGGGATCAACAAGGACTGTAATAGAGGAGGTGACAACATAGTGAGGAATTTGACACTTTTCTCTGCAGCGAAAAGCAAGAACCAGATGGCAGTGTTGCTTGCCCAGTGCTAGATTTTGTGATGACTGTTCAGAGCTGAAAATGAACTTGCAGTGGGAGGGGTCGTGGATCATGCAAGTATCAGCAAAGCAGGTAGAATCAGGAAAGCTGTTCTGTACAAAAAATATGAGGAGTAAGGCACAAAGGAGAACAGCAAAGGTTACAATCTCTGGAGTATGACCTGAGCGACTGCAAATTTGATTAGGGTCCCTCACAGTAGGGTGGTGGTGGGGATGGTGGTTGGTGTGAATCCATGGCTTATAGACTGGTGCTGGAGAAATGGCTTCCAGTTCGTAGGCATCTGACACTATATATGGAAACTAGAGGCTAAAACTCAAAACAGTCCAAACCTGAATTCTGCTGGGGCCAATATTTCTGTGAACTACATAACTGGCGAGGCGGAGACTGTTGCAAACTGAAAAGTAAGGGGCAAGGCATAAATGCAGAAAGATGTCAAGAGATGGAGTCAAGTTAAATGAGGAAAGTAGTAGTATGGAAAATAAGGATCAGAAAGTGGCAGGAAGGGGCACAGAAAGAGAAAAACTAAGGAATGCACCACCAACAATCAAGATAAGATGTTGCAAGGATATTAAAGAGAAAAAACTAAATTCTCTGCATTTAAATGTAAATAGCAATCATAATAAAATACATGAATTGACAGTACACATTGAACTAAATGAATACGATCTGATAGTCAGGGCAACATGGTTTCTGGATGACAGGGTCCTGAATATTGAGAGGTATGTGATATTTAAGAAAGTAGAAAGCTCGGTGAAGTCAAACATATAGCACTGTTAGTTGACAATGGCATTTGCAGATACAGTCATACAGATATACAGAACAGAAACACACCCTTTAGTCCAAATCATCAATGCTGACCAGATATCCTGAATAAATCTTGTCCCATTTGCCAACATTTGGCCATATCCCTCTAAGCCCTTCTTATTTATGTATCCATCCACATGCCTTTCAAATGTTGTAATTGTACCAGCCACCACCACTTCCTCTGGAAGCTCATTCCATACACGCACCACCCTCTGCGTGAAAAAGTTGTTCCTTAGGTCCCTTTTAAATCTTTCCCCTCTCACCTTAAACCTGTGCCTTCCAGTTTTTGACTCCCCCACCCCCGGGAAAAGACCTTGTCTATTCACCCTATCCATGCCCCTCATGATTTTATAAACCTCCATAAAGTCACCCCTCAGCCTCTAATGCTCCAGGGAAAATAGATCCAGTCTTTTCAGCCTCTCCCTGTAGCTCAAACCCTACAACCTTGGCAACATCCTTGTAAATCTTTTCTGAGCCCTTTCAAGTTTCACAACATCCTTATGTTATTGATGAAAATGACCTTGGATCAGGAGATCAGGGTGTAGAATTGGTTTGAGTGGAGATGAGAAAGAGTACTGGAAAGAAGTCACTAGTAGGAGTGCTCTATAGGCCCCCTAACAGTAACCACAATGTGGGATAAAGTACTCAAGAAGAGATATTGAGTGCTTAAGTTAAAGGGACGTCAATAAACATCGATGTCTTGAATCTTCATATAAACTGGAAAAAGCAGATTGTCAGTAGTAGCCAGAATGAAGCAGTCATAGAATATTTTTTGCAATAGTTTCTTGGAACAGGTCATTTTGAAATCAACCAGAGACCAGGCTTTAGTAGACTTGTTATCGTGTGATGTAACAGGATAAATTACAGGATTTACAGGATAGTTTAATTACATCAGATTTAAGGCACCTCGAGATGGCAGCAACCACATTACGAGTCAATCTTACATTCGGTTTGAAAGGAAGAGTTTAGGTCTCAGAAAAATATTTAAAATTTAAATAAGAGCAACTGTGCGGACATAAAAGCTTAGCAACTGGAAGTGAACTGGCGTCCTATGCTACAGGACAGATCAATAGAGATAAAGTTCAAGGTACTCTTTCAGAATCAGTTTCTTCCTACTGTAAGGAAAAGTTCTGATGGGAGGGCCCAATGTCAATGGCTAACTAAAGAAGTTGGGAAAGTATCAGTCATAGGAAAAAACAAAGAAGAAGTGAGTTGCAGATCAGCTGAATGGTCAGAAAATGAAAAACAGCAGAGAATGGTTGAAGTGTTAATTGGACAGAAGAAGTTAGTGTGTGAAAGTAAGTTAGCCAGGAGTGTACAAATGGATACCAATAGTTTCCACAGGCTTTTAGTAAAGGAAAAAAAAGTTCATAAAGTCTCCTACATGGTCAGAATGGGATTAATAGTAAATAACAAGGAAATTTGAGTGAAATTAACAAGTATGTTGTGAAGGAGACAAAGGAAGTTGCATTTTGATAGAAATGGGTTAAGTGAAGTATCTGACACATGGCATATCCAGTGGGAAAATATGAAGTTGTTCCCTTTGGCAGGTAGAATAAAATACCAGGATATCTCTTAAATGGAGAATAACAGCAGAATTCTGAGATGCAGAGATAATCTATGTGTTCCCGTGTATGAGTCACAGAACATGGGCATGCAGGAACAACACATAATAAATAATGCTAATGGCATGCTATTCTTTATTATAAGAGGAATTTTACATACAAGTCATAACATAATACAGGATATTGGTGAGACCACATCTGAAATGCTGTGTGCAGTTTTAGCCTTCTTGTTTAAGGAATGATGTAAGTGCATTGGAGGTGTTCAGAGAAGGTTTACTAGATTATACCTGGAATGAACAGGTTGTCCTAGGTGGATAGATTGCCAGAGGCTGGACTTATTTCCACTGGAGTTTAGAAGAATGAAAGGTGACTTGATTGAAGTGTACAAGATTCTGAATGGTCTTAAAACAGTGGATATGGAAAGGATATTTCCTCTCGTGGGTCAGTCCAGAACTAAGGGGTAACATTTGAAAATCAGGGGTTGCTCTTTTAGAGCACAGAATGGAGAATCTTTTTGCCCTTACAGTTGTGCAAATTTAGGACTCTCTGCATCAGAAGACAGTGATGGTTCATTGCATATTTTTAATATACAATGTGCAGAGAGGTCGATTTTTGTTGGGCAGGGAAATCATGGGTTATCATGGTTAGATGGAAATATGGAATTCAAAACAGATAGCCATGATCATACTGAATGTTGAAGCAGGCTTGAGAGGCCCTAATTTAATCATTTGTATGTTCTTGTTAGAGATGATCATTACCTTGCACTTATATGCACAAACATTACTTGCCTCTTATCAGCCCAAGCCTGGATGTTATCCAGGTATAGCTTCATACATAAGCAGACTGCATCAGTATCTGAACAATCACGAACAGTGCTGAACATTGTGCAATCATCAGCGAACATCTCCACCTTTGACATTATGTTTGTGTATTCACTTTAACTTATTGTCAAGGGGAAGCTTCAAATTCTGCAAATTTTACTGTGCACATTTCACAATTCCCAGTTCTCTTAACGTTTTACTAAAGTAAGCAAAACCCAGACAGTTCCTTGGAGACAAGTGAATGGCAATGTAAACATTTTCCTGCTCCTGTTCTCTAATTAGTGCCTGAAGATTCGCTTGGATTGATAGCTCATGTGAGCCTCCCAGAAGCTGAGTGTAGAATAATCAGGCAACGCCTCCGAGTTATGGAGATTATGCGGTGGGCGAATATGACCTCGCTGATTGACAGTGAATAGAGATTGAACAGGAAGGAAGTTTTCAGTCAGAACAGTGCGCAACACCATGAACAATTTCAACAGAGCAAATAGGAGAAAATGTTTCGAGTGGCACTAGGATCAATCACCCAAGGACACATGTTGAATTTGAATGCGAAAAGCGCAAGGGAAGATGAAGATTCTTGTTTCCATTTGTTTTGGAATGTGCTGCCTGCAAGGGTGATGGAAGTGGATTCAATGATGCTTTTCAAGAGGCAATAAGTTTGAGATTTGATGGGAATGCATTGGTCTGGCTGAGGTGAAAGAGCAGGGCAGTGGGATGAAATGGATAGCTCTTTCAAGGAGCCAGCATTTTACATGATGAATTGAATGGTCCCATTTCTGTGCTGTCTGATTTGTGAATTGTGATGAGACTAGGGGTGGCAGTGTTGAGAGGAGAGGGACAGATTTGTTCACTCCCTGGTGGTAAATTGATTGAAGACTGAGCAGAAAATCACTTCGTCATGGTGAACCAGTCAGCAGGAGTCTGAATACTCACTGATCTTTTATCATATGTGTTGATACCACATTGTGAATATGGGTGCATGACAATTTGATTGTGGAGAATGCAAAGTTAAGAATGGTTCAGGCTTGAATGTCAATGTAACACAATTTAATATTTGTTAATACTAAACACTGCTATATATGGTTATCAAAGGTATACCAGCTTATATTTATATTTACATTAGATAAAGATGATCTATCTTTGTGTCATCATGCCCATGTGCTGTCAAGACTCCTCATTTCATAGTGTTCCACCTTTGCACATTCTGTAATGTTTATGCCCAGTGACGTACAGTTTGGCCTTTATTGGTCATGGCATAGATTATAAGAGCAGAGAGGTCATGCTCTGTGCAGAGATTTGGTTAGGCCACAGCTGGACTACTGTGTATAGTTCTGGTTACCAAACTACAGGAAGGACAGAGTGGGTGGAAAGGAAATTCAACAGGAAATTAAAATTAAACAAAGAACTGCAGATGCTGGAGATCCGAAACAAAAACTGAAATTGCTCGAGAAACATAGCAGGTCTAGCAGCATATATATAGGAAGAAAGCACAGTAACGTTTCAAATCTAATGACTCTTCATCAGAACTGGGGGAGGTGATGACCTCGTGTATTATCACTCGACAGTAAATCCAGAGACCCAGGTAATGCTTTGGAGACCTGGGTTTGAACCCTGCCATGGCAGATGGTGAAATTTAAATTCAGTAAAAATCTTAAATTAAGAGTTTAATGATGATCATGAAACCGTTGTTTATTGTTGGGAAAACCTATCTGGTTCACTAATGTCCTTTTGGGAGAGAAACTGCCATCCTTACCTGGTCTGACCTACATGTAACTCCAGAACCACAGCGAAGTGGTTAACTCTTGACTCTCCACTGGGCAGTTAGGGATGGGCAATAAATGCTGGCACAGCTGATGACACCCTCACCCCGTGAATGAAAAAGAACTGTTAGAAGCGAGGAGAAACTGGTATTAGGGTGGATTTGGAGCCCAGGGACGGAGATATGAAAGGAATGGGGAAACAAGGATAATGGATAACAGGCTAGGAAAGAAGAAAAGCTGAATAATAAATAATTAGAACGAAGAGAGTGAGAGAATGGGTTAAGCTGTGCTGAATGCACTCATATCATGTGATAGGGCCTAAGAGTATGTGAGATCGGTACATGGATGGGAAGGGTTTAGAGGGATATCAACCAAATGCGGGCAATTAGAACTAGCTGAGTGGCACCATGGTCAGTATGGACCAGTTTGGGCCAAAGAGCCTGTTTCCATGCTGTGTTACTCTATGACTCTAAGAGAAAGGGTGACCATGCTAAAAGCAGCCCATAGCATAACTGGGCGCAGTGTCAAGTGGGTAAAATTCGTGGAAGGATGGAATCAGGTTGTATAGTTATTGGACTCAATGTTGAGTCATAGAGGCTGAATGGTTCCCCAGTGGAAAATGAGATGTAGAGCTTTGAACTTGTGCTGAGTCTCACTGCAGCAGGCGTGCAACAGAAACATTGGTGTGGGAACACAGAGGTGTGTTGAAGTGGCAGGCAACGGGAAGATTGGGGTCGTTTTTGCAGAGAAAATGTAGATGTTCTGCAAAGCGGTCTCCCAGTCTGCTAATGCAGAGGAGAACCATGTTGTGAACAGCGTGAACACAAAGAAGCTGTTCCCCTTATTTGAAGGGACAATAACCAGGGGGCATCATTTTAAAGTGAAAGGCAGGAAATTCTGAGGGGGTTTGAGGAAAACCTTTTTCAGTCAGATGGTATCTGGAAGGCACTGTCTTGGAGGATAGTTGAGATGGGAAAGCTCAGAACCATGAAAAAGTACTTGGATGAGAACTGGAAGTGCCATAACATTCAAGTCCTTTAGGAAAGTTGGTCTATTTTAGGTCATACTATATTTTGTATATTTAGACACAATGGGTACTGTATTCTATGTTTCTATGATAATTACAAGGTTGCTCTAGGGTCCTGAATCCCTTAAACACCCATAGACAAACTTGTTACCAGGGAAAGGGAGAGCTGTCACACTGCTAGTCTGTACAGAGTGTCAGTTAACTATTCAGGAAAGGTTTCACTGCTGACATGAGAACAGCTGACAGTGTTGAGCAGGTTGGATGGATGAATCCTGAACTATTGCTGTAGAACTGCTGCTTCACTGAGTGTTCATATCAATATGTCAAAGAAGTGCTGAGGAAAGGGTGGCATGGTAGCTCAGTGGTCAGCACTGCTGCCTTATCATGCCAGGAAACTGGGTTCGTTCCCACCCTCGGGTGACAGTATGGAGTTGCCCATTCTGCCTGTGTCTGTGTGAGTTTCCTCTGGGTGCTCTGTGCAGAAAGCTTGAAGCCCAAATGGCACCATGCAGTGACTCCAGTTGTCTGCATAGACAAGGTTAGCCCCAGTATTTTATTTTACTCTTTGTTAATGGGATGTGGGTACCACTGGCTAGGCCAGCATTTATTGACCATCCCTATTTGCCCAGAGGGCAGTTAACAGTCAGCCACACTGTTGTGGGTCTGGAGTCACATCTGGATTAGACCAAGTAAGACCAGCAGATTTTATTATCTAAAGGGCATTAGTAAACCCAGATGAGTTTTTACAACAATTGAGAGTGGATTCATGCTCACCATGAGACAAGCTATTAATTGCATATTCTTAAATTATAAATCATCATTTGCCCCGGTAGGATTTGAACACATCCTAAGAACATTAGACTGGGAATTGGGATTGTGAGCCCAGCAACATTGCCAGTATACTACTGCATCCTCCCAGAGGTGTCACACAGATGCTCCCCTTGCTGTTCCCCTCTAGATGTTGATACTGACTGCTCCCCAGATACGGACCCTGACTCGGTGCTTCCTGGATTGAAGCGTGGGCTGTGACCCTGCCTAGAAAGGATTTTGGAGCTCTCACCGGCCACGGATGTCCAAGTTGGAGATGGCGTAGAAGTACTTGGAGAGATTGTTGGGGTCGACGCTGGTGGGTCCAGTAGCCGGCCGCAGCAGCCTGACCCGCAGGTCGGTCAGGGTGAAGAAGTCTCTCAGTTCCTTGGTGGTGTCCAGTTGGCCGTACAGTGAGGCCATGTCCCCAAGGCGGGGCCCCCCGAACAGGGCCAGGCGCTCCTGGATCTCAAAGTGGACCGTCTTGTCCACCTTCCACACGTAGCCCCTGGAGTACTCCTCCGTGCAGATGATGTCCAGCACCGAGGCCGGCCTCAGATCCCGAGCCTTTCTCGGCTCCATCCCGAAGGAGTTGAGGCAGTCGGCTGCGTAGAACTGGTAGGGCTGCCAGCTCCGCCCGTGGTCCAGAGACTTCTCCAGGACCATCTGCTCCGGCCGGCCTGACTCGAAGGTGATGATGATGTCCTCGGTCAGTTCAATGCTCTTCCCCCAGGACAGGGTGATGTTGACCACCAGGGGTCTGGGGAAACTCCTCCAGGACACACTTTGCCAAAAGCTGGTGGGAATCCTGCCTTCATCATCCAGCATCAGCTCGGGAGGGTGGGCCAGCTCGGGTGTGTGAGCATCACACTCGTTGTTGCACATGTACGGGTTCTCCTGTAAACAGAGAGGGCAACAGCATGAGTTAGATATACAGTAAAGCTACCTCTACATTGTCCCTATCAAATACTCCTAGGACGGGTAAAGCACATGATTAGATACAGAGTAAAACTCCATTTATATTGTTTCTTTCAAATACACCCAGGAAAGGTACAGATTATGAACAGATTAAAGCTCCCTCTATACTGTCCCCATCCAAAACACTCAAGGCAGATACAGAGTAAAGCCCCCTCTACATTGCCTCAATCTAATACTCCTAGAACGGGCACAGCACAGGGTAAGATTAAGGGTAAAACTTACTCTACATTGTCCCTATCAAATATTCCTAGGACGGGTAGATATGGAGTAAAATACTCTCTACATTATCCCCATCAAATGCTCCCTGGGCAGATACAGTACAGGGTTGAATACAGAGTAAAGCTCTCTCTACACTGTCTACACCAAATAGTCGCAGGAGAGGTTTAGCACAGAGGTAGGTACAAAGTAAAGCTCCATTTATACTGTCCAATTCAAATACCCCAGAACAGGTACAGCATGGTTAGCTGCAGAGTAAAGCTCTCTCTACATTTTTGAACCGAGAAAATGACTGCCTCAACACTATCCTGAATAGGAACACCCAGGACACTACAGCATGGGGTTAGATACAGATTGAAACTCCCTCCTAGCTATTTTGAAATAAGGAATACCCACAAACTTTAATAATCTCTAGGAGAAGTTTTTAATAAATCTGTCAGCGCTCCATCACACTGCACTCTGTGCAGGCCAGTCAGACAGCTGGATAATTATATCACTGTTGTGCTGAAGAATGATGTTCACCGTCTAACTAAAAATAGCTTCACATCACTAAAATATTTACAGACATGAGTTATAAAGCAGCACAGGATTTGGGAACCAAATGATATTTGCTAAAAAGTCTGCAAGCATCTGGGGAAATAGCAGGGATAGAAGGACTAATGCAATAGGTTTTTCAAAGAGAACAAAAATTGTGGACTGAGTGGTCTTCATGGAATCCCTACAACCTGTAAGAAGGCCATTCAGCCCATTGCACCCACACCGACACTCCGAAGAGCATCCCACCCAATCACTGGGACCCTGCATTTCCCATGGTTAATATCCATTGACCCTGCATATCCCTGGGTACTATAGCATGGCCAATCCACCTAACCTGTGCGTCTCTGGACTGTGGGAGGAAACCAGAGCACCCAGAGGAAACTCATGCAGACAAATGGAGAATGTGCAAACTCCACAAAGACAGTCGCCTGAGATTGGAATTGAACCCGGGTCCCTGACACAGTGAGACACCAACGCTATTCACTGAACCACCGTGCTGCCCATTGTACTATCTCATTCTTTGATTCTGTGATTAAAATTTGGGGTAGTTTGTGACTCAGAAGGGATCTTGTACATTTAGGTTCAGAAGGGAGTGTATTGAAATACTGCTGATGGGTACTTGCTGTTGCTAATCCTGTCGATGGGACACACTGCAATCACAGTGCGCTAGTCAAAGGAGTAGACTGGGAGGGGAGTGTCGCTGCTTGGTATTTGCAGAATTGCTGCAGTGAATCCTGGGGACTGATGCTCTCCCCAACTACGTCATGATCCTCACGGTCTTCAACATGTCGTTGACGATGACGAGCATCTCACCAAGATCATCCCTACGCCTCCACTTCTTGCCTTCAAACAACTGCTAAACCTTAAACAGACTATCCTTCACAGCCTTCAGGAGAATATTGACCACAACACCACACAACGCTGCTGTGCAAGACATGTCAGATCATCAACATGAATACTACCATCACACATGGGAACATCACCCACCATGTACGCAGCAAATATTCATGTGGCTTAGTCAATGTTGCCTATCTCATATGCTGCAGACAAGGATGACCCAAGGCATGGGATAATGGCGAGACCATGCAGATGCTACAATGGATGAATGGACACCATGAAACAATCACCAGACAGGAATGTTCCCTCCCAGTCGGGGAACACCTCAGCGGTCAAGGTCATTCAGCCTCCGATCTTTGGGTGAGTGTCTTCCAAGGCGGCCTTCCAGATACTCAACAACACAGGATCACCGAGCAGAAACTGATAGCCAAGTTCTGTACCCATTAAGATTGTCTCAACTGTGAGTTTGGGTTCATGTCATACTACATATGACCCCACCACACTATTCTGTATCTGTAAAACCTTTCTTTCTGTCCTGTTTTGTCACCATCACCTGGATAAATTGCTATGATCTTTCTACCTTAATTAGTTTGTACATTTTTGGATTACTAATGAGTTTGGTGAGGCACTCAGCATGCGACAGTTATACCTATCATGTTGTTCTGGTCACAGACAGGAACGGGAGTTGCTGGAGGGGCTTGGTGAGTCTGGCATCATATGGTGGAGAGGTTGAGGTTGAGGTTGGCATTTTGGGTCCGGTGGCCCTTCCTCAGAACCAGGAGGGTCTCCCTTCTGGAGGGTGGTTGCCGGACCCAAGGCGGTAACTTTGGTTTCTCTTCACAGATGTTGTTAGGCTCTGAGCTTTTCCAGCAACTTCCTGCTTTTGTTTCTGATTTGCAGCATCTTCAGTTCTTTCAGTTTTTATATTATTCCAGTCAGTTGGTTTGTTTCCAGTGTCACCTTATTTTTAATATTTTGTAATTATCTCTCTGTCTCATTTAATCAGATTATAGGTCATCCCTTTGCTTGTTTTTCAGCTGTTGACACTTTAATCACACCGTCTAACACTTCGGATCACCAGCAGGGACTTATTATTCGGTTCACAACATTTGTATGCTCTTTTGATCTCTCTGCCCTTGATGTCTCTCTGCCTATAAATTCTGTGTCTGTGTGCTTCTCTGTCACTTCACCTGATGAAGCGGCTATGCGCTGAAAGCTTGTGGTTTCAAATAAACCTGTCAGACTATAAACTGGTGTCGTGTGATTTATGACTCTCCCCAACATCGGCAACACTGAATAGGAATAGCAATTGCAATTCACTGTCACTTGTATTTATGCAAACACAGTGAGATGTGTACAAGTCACCACAATTCAGCGCCATTTTAATTACAGGAATTGGAAGAAGAAATAATTGAGACAAAGTTGGAACAAAGCTCGTCTTTTGTTCCCTCCACGGCCCCTGGGTTTGTGGAGTGGCTACGGGACGTCACCAATGAAACTGCCCCTGAGGCAGGGATTTCCTGACTGGACCCACCACTCTGCCACTGCCAAAGCCTTTGCATCGCTTCCATGGCAAGTAGGGACGGAACGGAACGCACCAAGTCACCAATGCTGAAGCCATTGCTCAAGCCGTTGTCACTTCAGTCACTGTCCTAAGCTGCTACATTGCTGTCATAACCACAAGAAATGAACTGGAACCACCGTGCTGCTACTACAATGCCACCGCTGAAACTGCTGCATCGCTGCCAGGAGAAATGGATCAGACCCACCACGATGAAAACCAGAGGAGCTGTGAACGCCGTAAATCAGGAACAAAATCTGAAGTTGCTGGAAAATCTCAGCAGGTCTGGCTGCATCTGTGAAAAAAAATCAGAGTTAACGTTTCGGGTCCGGTGACCCTTCCTCAGAACTGTTCTGATGAAGGGTCACTGGACCCGAAACGTTAACTCTGATTTTTCTTTACGGATGCTGCCGGACCTGCTGAGCTTTCCCAGCAACTTCTGTTTTTGTTCCACCAACGGTGAAGCCTTCGATAAAGCCACGGCCACTATGGCCATGAGGGACGGACATCCAGATTCACCACGCTGCAGCCCCCATAACAGGTTCTCATAATCGCCTTCCTCCACCACAGCCGCAGAAGAGAAGGCGAACTTCGACACAGAAGAGAAATTAAGAAACAAAACGAAAATATGAAAGAAGAATGCAGGTGGCCAAGTCAGCAGGAGCGTATGGGTACAGTGCTCAACAACTTTGTACCTTGCTGCTGCCATCTTAGAATCCCAAATCAGACCAACCTCCTTTGCTGAAAGATCACATCACTCATCCTGTTAGGGTGAAATCCGTATATTAGAATCATAGAATCCCTACAGTGTGGAAACAAGCCCTTCAGCCCAACAAGTCCACACCAAACCTCAGACCATCCCACCCAGACCCATTCTCCTGTAACCAACCTAATCTACACATCCCTGAACCCTACAGGCAATTTAGCATGGACAATATATCTAGCCTGCACATCTTTGGACTGTGGGAGGAAACCCACACAGACAAAGGGAGAACGTGCAAATTCCACACAGACAGTCGCCTGAGGGTGGAATTGAACCCAGGTCCCTGGCACTGTGAGGCAGCAGTGCTAACCACTGAGCCACCATGCTGCCCTGTATAAAGTAGATATTTCCAGCAATCACAGTTCCAGTTTTGCTGAGATGCCTTGCAGGCAAACCTGGTCAAAACTGCCTTAATATCAGGGAACAAGGTGCAGAGCTGGATGAACACAACAAGCCAAGCAGCATCATAGGAGCAGAAAGGCTGACATTTGGGCCTTGACCCTTCATCAGAAATGGGGGAGGGGAAGGGGGTTCTGAAATAAAT